TGTCCGTCCCCCATGGGAGGGGGTTAGATGTAGAGCCTTGTAATCAGTTCCTCCTACAATGCACCCTTTTGCACGAGCCCGGAGAGCCTTCCTTTGTAGGACCTGTGTGTGTTTCTGTGCCTCTGTGCCACCGGAGCTGTCTTCCGGACCCTGAGACTTTGCATGTCGTGTTCCCTCTGCTCGAACTGCTGTTCCCCATGCAGCCCCTTGGCCCCTCCCTTCCTATCCTCTTTCTGTGCTCGAAAGTCCCTGGATTAGAAAGGCGTTTTTAAAATTTTTTAATAGAGGCCTTTAAAAATAAGATAGCCCCTCCTCATCCCTGTTTTCCGCAGCTTTCTTTTGGGTTTCTGCGGTTGCCGGGACAAGTGGCCCACCAGCTTGACTTACACCTGGGAAGACGCAGTCTCTCTCAGTTCTGGGGCTTGAGGTCCAAAACCAAGCTATCAATAGGACTGTGTCCCCTGGAGGCTCTAGGGCAGTGTCCTTCCTTCCGTCTTCCAGCTGCCGGTGGCCTTGGTGTTCCTGGGCTTGTAGCTGCGTCACTCCGGTTTCTGCCACTCTGGTCAGCCAGTCGTCTTCCCTGGGGTGGGGGGTGTCCCCTCATCCTGTCTCTTATAAGGACACCACTTATTGGATCTCGGCCCCCCCCCCACTCAGATAATCCCAACGATCTTATCTGTAAATCTTTAAGTCACTTAATTTTGCAGAGGGCTCCCCCTCTTCCCCAATAAGGTCACCTTCACATGTTCTGGGGGGTGGACATTTTCTCCCCCACCCCCACACTTTTATTGGCATTTAATCCACATATCACTGAATTCAGTAGTGCAATCCTATCAAGAAGAATTGTACAATCATTACCACAATCAATTTCAGTGCATTTTCGAACCCCCCACCATGATTAAATTGCCTTTAAAATGAGTTGTGTAGTCACCTTCCGTTCCAGTACTCACTCCCCCTCCCACCTTCACTGTTTACTCCCCAAATCCCCTCACCCTCCCTATTTGCCCCCACGCACCTCTACAGCCCTTACAAACCCTGCAGCAGTTATTGCCTCTGTGCACCCACCCCTTCTGTGCTTCACACACTGGGAAACCCAACAGAAACAGTAAAGAACAACCGCGAAATAAAGTGGTAAGCATAAAACAAGAGTAGTATAAAGACGAAAACACAAGGAGTAAGAAAAAAGGACCACCATCAATATTTAAAAAGCCAGGGAAGAAGTTTTTGTCAGGGAACAAGCAAGAGATTCCTTGCACCGGGAACAAATTCAGGTTGAGTCTAGTGTCAAGTTTGATCCAGCCCAATCAGGATCACAAAGATCTGTTTCATAGTAAGGCTGTTCCAGACCTTTGGTTAGAGGGGATCTGCCCTGATATCTCTTTTTA